TAACTTCCAAAAATAACTCCCTCGTGGAGGGCAAGGCCGGATTTACGGTGTTCACTGTATTTGTCCATGCGAGAAATTTGTTCCGGGGGAAAATCGAAACAATTTCAAATCTAAACTTTAGATCAGAGTTCTATTGATAAACTTAAATCACCCTATAGACATATCATACGCAATTGTATTGATTTTGAATTGTGGAATAAAATTGAAGTGTTTGTTAATATTTCAAAGTACTACTTTGTTTGCCAATCAACACGCGACAATACGCTGTTCAAACTATTGAACGAAATTGTGTGGATTGTCGATAAGGCGGGCATTTTTAATTTTGAATATAAATTATAAGTTAAAAAAGAACATAAGAGGCAGAGAAAACGTAAATATTAGCATTGAACTGTTTTTGTATGGTATTTATGATCTATTTGAATGTCACAGCTTTGCAAGCAAACAAATCATAATGCGCGCTATAAGTACAATTTATTCATCCAAGTACAGATTATTCATTTAAAGCACATTGTAAACATCTAAAGTACATTTTATACAATAAAGTACATTTTATACATTTGAGTGCAGTACATTCTATATATTAAAATGCATTGTATACATTGAAGTACATTCTGGTACATTTAGATAAAGTACATTTTATACATTGTAGTACATTCTGATACATTTGGGCAAAGTACATTGTATACATTGTGGTACATTCTGATACATTTAGGCAAAGTACATTGTATACATTGTGGTACATTCTGATACATTTAGGCAAAGTACATTTCATACATTGTCGTACATTCTGATACATTTAGGTAAAGTACATTTCATACATTGTCGTACATTCTGATACATTTAGGCAAAGTACATTGTATACATTGTGGTACATTCTGATACATTTAGGTAAAGTACATTTTATACAATAAAGTACATTTTATACATTTGAGTGAAGTACATTCTATATATTAAAATGCATTGTATACATTGTAGTACATTCTGGTACATTTAGGTAAAGTACATTTTATTTTACATTGTGGTACATTCTGATACATTTAGGCAAAGTACATTGTATACATTGTGGTACATTCTGATACATTTAGGTAAAGTACATTTTATACAATAAAGTACATTTTATACATTTGAGTGAAGTACATTCTATATATTAAAATGCATTGTATACATTGTAGCACATTCTGGTACATTTAGGTAAAGTACATTTTATTTTACATTGTGGTACATTCTGATACATTTAGGTAAAATACATTTTATACATTGTCTTACATTCTGATACAATTAGGTAAAGTACGTTTTATACAATTAAGTACATTTTATACATTTGAGTGAAGTACATTCTATATATTAAAATGCATTGTATACATTAAAGTACATTCTGGTACATTTAGATAAAGTACATTTTTTCATTGTAGTACATTCTGATACATTTAGGTAAAAGACATTTTATACATTGTCGTACATTCTGATACAATTAGGTTAAGTAGATTTTATTCATTGTAGTAAATACATTCTGATACATTTAGGTAAAGTACATTTTATACATTGTGGTACATTCTGATACATTTAGGTAAAAGACATTTTATACATTGTCGTACATTCTGATACATTTAGGTAAAAGACATTTTATACATTGTCGTACATACTGATACAATTAGGTTAAGTAGATTTTATTCATTGTAGTAAATACATTCTGATACATTTAGGTAAAGTACATTTTATTTTACATTGTGGTACATTCTGATACATTTAGGTAAAAGACATTTTATACATTGTCGTGCATTCTGATACAATTAGGTTAAGTAGATTTTATACATTGTAGTACATACATTCTGATATATTCAGGTAAAGTACATTTCATACATTGTGGTACATTCTGATACATTTAGGTAAAGTACATTTCATACTATGTGGTACATTCTGATACATTTAGGTAAAGTACATTTTATACATTGTGGTACATTTTGATACAATTAGGTAAAGTACATTTTATACATTGTGGTACATTCTGATACAATTAGGTTAAGTAGATTTTATACATTGTGGTACATTCTGATACAATTAGGTAAAGTACATTTTATACAATAAAGTACATTTTATGCATTTGAGTGAAGTACATTCTATATATTAAAATGCATTGTATACATTGAAATACATTCTGGTACATTTAGATAAAGTACATTTTTTCATTGTAGTACATTCTGTTACATTTAGGTAAAAGACATTTTATACATTGTCGTACATTCTGATACAATTAGGTTAAGTAGATTTTATACATTGTAGTACATTCTGGTACAATTAGGTAAAATACATTTAATACAATAAAGTACATTTTATACATTTGAGGGGAGTACATTCTATATATTAAAATGCATTGTATACATTGAACTACATTCTGGTACATTTAGGTAAAAGACATTTCATACATTGTCGTACATTCTGATACAATTAGGTAAAGTACATTTTATACACTGTAGTACATTCTGATACATTTAGGTAAAATACATTTGATACATTGTAGTACATACATTCTGATATATTCAGGTAAAGTACATTTTATACATTGTAGTACATACATTCTTATACATTCAGGTAAAGTACATTTTTATTCATTGTAGTACATTCTGATACACTTAGGTAAATAAAGTACATTTTATACATTGTAGTACATACATTTTGATATATTCAGGTAAAGTACATTTTATACATTGTAGTTCATACATTCGGATACATTCAGGTAAAGTACATTTTATACATTGTAGTACATACATCCTGATACATTCAGGTAAAGTACATTTTTATTTATTGTAGTACATTCTGATACATTTAGGTAAAATACATTTTATACATTGTGGTACATTCTGATACATTTAGGTAAAGTACATTTTATACATTGTGGTACATTCTGATACTCTTAGGTAAATAAAGTACATTTTATACATTGTAGTACATTCTGATACATTTAGGTAAATAAAGTACGTTTCATACATTGTGGTACATTCTGATACAATTAGGTAAAGTACATTGTATACATTGTAGTACATTCTGATACATTTAGGTAAAGTACATTTTTATACATTGTAGTTCATTCTGATACATTTAGGTAAATAAAGTACGTTTCATACATTGTGGTACATTCTGATACATTTAGGTAAAGTACATTTTTATACATTGTAGTACATTCTGATACATTTAGGTAAATAAAGTACATTTCATACATTGTGGTACATTCTGATACATTTAGGTAAAGTACATTTCATACTATGTGGTACATTCTGATACATTTAGGTAAAGTACATTGTATACATTGTAGTACATTCTGATACATTTAGGTAAACAAGTACATTTTATACATTGTGGTACATTCTGGTACATTTAGGTAAAGTACATTTCATACTATGTGGTACATTCTGATACATTTAGGTAAATAAAGTACATTTCATACATTGTGGTACATTCTGATACAATTAGGTTAAGTACATTGTATACATTGTAGTACATTCTGATACATTTAGGTAAAGAACATTGTATACATTGTAGTACATTCTGATACATTTAGGTAAACAAGTACATTTTATACATTGTGGTACATTCTGGTACATTTAGGTAAAGTACATTTCATACTATGTCGTACATTCTGATACATTTAGGTAAATAAAGTACATTTCATACATTGTGGTACATTCTGATACATTTAGGTAAAGTACATTGTATACATTGTATTACGTACATTCTGATACATTTAGGTAAATAAAGTACATTTCATACATTGTGGTACATTCTGATACATTTAGGTAAAGTACATTGTATACATTGTATTACGTACATTCTGATACATTTAGGTAAATAAAGTACATTTCATACATTGTGGTACATTCTGATACATTTAGGTAAAGTACATTGTATACATTGTATTACGTACATTCTGATACATTTAGGTAAATAAAGTACATTTCATACATTGTGGTACATTCTGATACATTTAGGTAAAGTACATTGTATACATTGTATTACGTACATTCTGATACATTTAGGTAAATAAAGTACATTTCATACATTGTGGTACATTCTGATACATTTAGGTAAAGTACATTGTATACATTGTATTACGTACATTCTGATACATTTAGGTAAAGTACATTGTATACATTGTATTACGTACATTCTGATATATTCAGGTAAAGTATATTTTATACATTGTGGTACATTCTGATACATTTAGGTAAAGTACATTTCATACATTGTGGTACATTCTGATACATTTAGGTAAAGTACATTGTATACATTGTAGTACATTCTGGTACATTTTATGCATTTAAGCGCACTTTTAGACATTTTTATAAATTGAGAGCACATTTTCGTACATTTTATACATTTAAACTTAATTTTATACTTTAAGAACCTGCTATGCATTAAAAATATTTTATTTTTATATAAGAAGAATCAACTACAACTCTATTTTCCCTTTATTGTTGTTCAAGTAGAGCATTCCAGATATGTTTCTTTCTCAGGATGGTCACCATCAGGCGGAAAGGAAAGACATCAGAAATTCACACACAAAGAGGCGAAGCTGTGCTCGGCGAACTTTTGGAAGCTGAAATTCCATTGATCAAATTTACAAGATTTCTATTCATTAGATATTTTAAGCGGGTTTTTGTTTACATAATTCTTAAGAAATATATTTTTCCGAATTGGTTCCTTACTGCAAGGCAAAGGATAATGATCTATGACGTCATTTAACCACGTGACTGAAAATGTATCATCCTATAAGTGAGTATCATTACACTTATTAGTCGTCTCTTCACATGTATGTAGTATGTACTAGAAATTGGACTCTGAAAACTCGAACTAATGGGACACATAGAACCGTGCCATAATGTAGGTAACCTAAATCTGGTATAGATGTAGTGTGGCCCTGTTAAAACTCTCACGTCACGATAAGGCATGACCTGAACCTTCCTGTTCTTTCCATACATGTTTCCACAGGCAAACGCACACGCTTCCAAGTGTATAACGATTGATAGCGTTTACAGTCTTACCATTATTGAGGTGGAGGTCATTCAGCCTTATCGAAACGTACACAGTTTTAAGTAAATCAACTCACCTGAAACCTGCCAACAGTTACATGATCGAAACATGTGAAAGTGACCACGTGACTGGAAACGTAATTTGGCATACCAGTCTACACCAAAGATGAAGGCAGTTATAGCACTTTTGATTTGTGGTAAGGTTTCTGTTCTTGTTCCTTTTCTTTTGAATGAACTTAATTTTCGTTTGCAATCCATATTGCTGTTATCGAATTGTTTATTGAGAACTTTCATCTGCTCGTTTATATAAATATCAACACACATTCACTTTAAATCATAACCGCGTGATTATGTGGGTTAAATTAAAGTTACAGAGGTCGTAATTTTGCCAGTGCCTCCGCCAGGAGTCGAACCCGGGACCTCTGGCTTACTAGTCTTACGCTCTACCGAATGCGCTTTAAAGTGAAATTATCCCTAGCCGAGTCGGTAGGAAGCGGCTAGTATTTTACCAGGGTGACATTAACAAGGATGAAATACGAACAAAAGTGGCAACAATAACTGTTTAACAATACATCCACACTATTAAAACAACATAAATAACTATATTGACAACAATGATAGCTTAGTATCAGAACATTTCATATTATTGTAAAATTCGAACTTCTTTATCAGTGAATGTATTTTATCTGTAACCTAACATGTATTAGTATTGTACTGTTATAGCATATGATCATCTGTGAACATCTACATGAAAACAAGGGAATTTCCTAGTGAAAACAAAACCATAAATCGATAAAACTAGGGCAAAATATGAAGAATGAGGAGTAAGGAGAAAGAAATAACAAAACTTGCGAGCATGATAAAACAATATCTACTAAAAATCAGCACGTTTATCGTACAGCTCTGGAGTAAACCGTCCATGTTGGTCATATTGTAAGTTGCAATCAAGACAAGTGTAGTCAGTAATGTTCTTGAATAAAGATCAGCTGGGTACGTATTTCTTGTCCTGGTTACCTTTTTTAATAAACTGAGTTTCACATGTAAGCAAAAACAAGTCAGCAATGTTAACACCTACCTGTCTTATTAATATCTCTGTTAGCCTTTCGTGAAAGGAAACCTATCAGTATAAGAGAAAAAAGGTTTGGTACATGTGGAGGTATGGTCGCGTTGATAAGGAAAAGCCCAATGTTGTGACAGAAGAAACAGTTTGAGGAGAGGATGCTGAAGATTGATCATCAGGAGACGAGACATTTCAGAAAATGGCGGTTTTCCTATTTGGACTAATTGTTTCCCTTAACCCCTTTCTGGACGACCTGAATAGGACGCTGAACACTTCCGGAACACCTGGTCCTATTCTCCTTTGTTGTATGCACATCATTCTTTTAACAATAGAGTTCTATAGTTGTTTTCGATTTTGAGTTCAAATATAATGATGGTTTTGTGAACACTTTTGGAGAATATTGGGAAGGGTTTCTTTGATTAAAATGCAAGCCAATTTTTTTGCTGTGACCAGGAATATAAAAGTGTCTGCAGACAAAGATTAATTAAATTGACGTTTTGACTACCGACAAAAATATATTACGTACATGTAGTAAAATATATTTCAAACACTTAATTCTTTTTTGAGTGATGGACCTAATATTTATAATCCACTTTTCAAGCGAACCTTATACAGTGTGGTCTTTTAAAACTTTTCTATGGCGTAGTTTTCAACAATATTCATCAATATTTTGCAATTCACACTCTAATTGGTAGTTTCTCCATAGTTAAGCCTTTATGGAAAGCTTTCGTAATTTTGCACTATCAAAAATAGTTAAATCGCTTGTTACTTTATGTCCACTATACCTGTATGGGGATGAGTGGTATGCTAAGGTCATATGCGTTATGCGGTTGTAGTTGTTTTTATATGAAAAGCCTTTTAGTGAATTTATGTCACATTATCATTAATTCCATGACGTCTCCAAGCTAATTTCCAAACATCTATATCAACAGTGTTACTAGATTTCCTTGGTATTGTTTGTAATACAGAGAGAGGAAGTTGCATGGACCGTCAAAGTCGCCTCGTAAATCTCCACCAAATTTACATGCAACAATGTATTATCATTTTTATTCGGTCCCATACAGGTTTGGGCGTTGTATATCCTGCATGTGACCCAGGGTGGACCCAGTTTAAAGAAAACTGCATTTGGTTCAGTAACACTCAAAAGATCTGGACCGATGCTGAAGTAAGTAAACCTAAAGCAAACAGAGGAATTCGTATGCTTATCCAATGTTTATAATGTTCCCCAAACGAAGTGGGTGATTATTGATTTTACTCCGTTTCTTCTTCTTCTTCTTCTTCTTCTTCTTTATCATCTTCTTCTATTTTCGCAACTGCGCATCTAAAATGGCCACTGTATACTGGCTTCTTATTGGTCGAAATATATACCTTGTTTGATATCATTCAAATTTAGTATGTAGTTTACATTCACACACGTAAGTTCACATACATATACAGTATCTGAATACTGGTTCTCCTACTTTAGGAGGAAGATACCAAACAAGATAAGACAAGTAGGTGTCTTTTGGCACTGCGAACCAAACTGCGACATCTTTTTTCTGTTTCGACAATCTTACTGCGGTATTCTGGCTTCTGATTGGTCGAAATTCATATAGTGTTCGATTTCACTCAAAGTTAGTATGTATGAGTATTATGGCATTGCGATCCTTTTCTGATGCATCTTTATGACTATGGGGGACTTCTGTAATGGTCCCCAATTAGTACTTATTATTATTATCCTTCTTCTTCTTGTTCCGCCGTAACATTTTGGTCGACACATTTCTCAAAAACTATTGGACGGAAAATAATGAAACTTTACACAAGTTTTCATCATGGTAAGTGGGTGTGCAAATGACCTATCATTTTCCGATTTGTCAACCGTGATGGCCACCACGGTCTCTGATTGGTCGAATTTAGATATTGGTCGATTTTGCACAAAATTGGTATGTATGTGTATTTTGGCACTGCGAACATAGCTGCGGGTGTGTTTGGGGATCTCCCATTACAATTAGCACTTGGTATTTATTGTGAGTGTATTGTTGACATTAGTACAGTTATATGCATAGGATTTATCCGTATATAATAAAATATGACAAACGGAATCCATCAGTATCTTTGTTTCTAATTTGTCTTTAAAGTGTTTAAAAAATAAATAATTCTCAAATAGGGACGATTGAAAAACATGGATTAGCAATCTTAACGGAATGATATAGAAAACGGAATGATATAGAAAACGGAAGCAACCATTCTACAGTATGATCTTATGGTGACACCGTTATAATATAGTAATATTGTAAATCTGATAATGCAGGAAAACTAAGAATCAGCAACTGTCAATTTAAAACAAACTCTTCCTGCACTGAAATAGCCAATGATATGTCAACTGTCACCACATTTGACTGTAAAATGGAATATTGGCCATCACTCCGTCCATGGTACAGCTTGTTCTTGTCAGTATATATCAGTGCGTACAAGGCTTGTCTACTATTATTTATAGTAAGTAACGGATTATAAAAACAAATTTGCCCTATCCCGAATCTGAGTTTATTTATATTTTCGATTTTCTGAAATAATGTATCGGTTGCATTAGTAAGCAATTTCAGCGTTAATAATGACATGGCGATTCTTAAAGTTTGCAGTATAAATGGGAAATGTTTTTTTAATATTATTGTCCGGTAAACAATTAGGTATACGTTTTTCTATTTTCTATCTTACAGTTGGACTGTCGCAAACACAACGCCTGGCTGATGACTGATGATAATGAAGATAAACACAATTTTATTTCCGATATCTTGTATGTCTTCAAAAGTAAGATCTTGTCATTTTCTTATCTGGTTATGATATATAAATCAACCCTGATTCAAATTGACGCCATTATACAATATTTTGGAATTTTCATTTTCAAGATTGCTTAATAATATTTGATACCGAAAGAACATAAAGTAAATGGCAACATAAATAATGGCCTGCGGCAGAAAAATACCCTGTAAGTAAGATAATTTGGAACATGTAACAAAAACATTTGGTCATGTAAAGGGAAAGGCTTGCTTAGTCTTTTTCTCTTATTCAAATGTTATAATAGGTTTCCACTTCAATCATTTCTTCATCGGCGGAAATGACGTTGCTTTTGAGAATCAGTGGCGTTGGTTAGAAACTGGTATCCACGTTGGTCCATTCTCCAAATGGGGTGCTGGGGAACCGGATGGAAACAACTCCAAGAACTGCTTATCACTTAAGTGGCAGGATGATCGAAATCTAGTATGGTCTGACGAAACTTGCGGACACATTTCGACCAGGCCAACAAGCGGGAACAAATCTCACGTACATGGCGCTGAAAACTACATCTGTGAAAAGCTGTAAGTAAAATAAACAATATATAATTATTTATTTTTCCATGTGTGCCGCTTATTAAAGGACCTATGTAAACCAAAAATATAATGTATCTGATTGATACTTCAACAATCCTTTTACATTGTTCCTATGCGTGAAACCAGTGACGATAGGGTAAAAACTACTGGCAACATTTCACGGCCTACAGGTTAAACGTGTGCAGATAGGGTAAGTACTACTGTTAATCTCATGGCCTACAGGTTAAAACTGTCAAAAAAGGGTGAAAACTACTGTTTACATTTAACGGCCTACAGGTTAAACCTATGAAAAAAGGGTGAAAACTACTGCTAACACTTCACGGCCTACAGGTTAAACCTGTAAAAATAAGGTGAAAACTACTGTTAACATTTCACGGTCTAGATCTTAAACCTGTTATGATAGGGTGAAAACTAGTGTTTACATATCACGGCCTACAAGTTGAACCAGTGACGATAGGGTGAAAATTACTGTTAATTTCAAGGCCTACAGGTTAAACCTGTGAAGAAAGGATGGAAACTATTGTTAATTTCAAGGTCTAGAAATTAAACCTGTATAATAGGTTTAAAACTACTGTTAACATTTCACTGCCTACAGGTTAAATCAGTGAAGATAGGGTGAAAACTACTGTTAACATTTCACGGCATACAGGTTAAACGTGTTAAGAAAAGATGAACACTACTGTTAACATTTCACGGCATACAGGTTCAACCGGTGAAAATAAAGTGAAAACAACTGTTAACATTTCACGGTCTAGAGGTTAAAACTGTTTAGACAGGGTGAAAACTACTGTTCACATTTCACGGCCTACAGGTTAAACCAGTACAATAGGGTGAAAAGTACTGTTTACATATCACGTCCTATAGGTTACACCAGTATAATATGGTGAAAACTACTGTTAACACTTCATGGCATACAGGTTAAATAAGTGAAGATAAGGTGAAAACTACTGTAAACATTTCATGTCGAACATGTTAGACCTGTTAAGACAGGGTGAGAACTACTGTTAACATACTACGGTCTACAGGTTAAACGTGTTAAGAGTATAAGGTGTAAACTACTGTTAACATTTCACTGCATACAGGTTAAACAAGATAAGAAAGTGTGAAAACTACTGTTAACATTTCAAAAACCTACAGGTTAAATCTGTTAAAATAGGGTGAAAACTACTATTAATATTTCACGGCCTACAGGTTAAACCGGTGAAAATAAAGTGAAAACAACTGTTAACATTTCATGGTCTACAGGTTAAACCTGTGAAGATAGAGTGAAAACTACTGTTAACATTTCACGGCCTACAGGTTAAACCAATGAAGATAGAGTGAAAACTACTGTTAACATTTCATGGTCTACAGGTTAAACCTGTGAAGAAAGGGTAGACACTACTGTCAATTTCACGGTCTAGAAATTAAACCTGTATAATAGGTTAAAAAACTACTGTTAATATTTCACGGCCTTCAGGTTAAACCAGTGAAGATAGGGTGAAAACTACTTTTTACATTTCACAGCCTACAGGTTAAACCAGTAAAGATAGGGTGAAAAGTACTGTTAACATTTCACGGCATACAGGTTAAACCAGTATAATTGGTTGAAAACTACTGTTAACATTTCATGGCCTACAGGTTAAACCTGTTAAGACAGGGTGAAAACTACTGTTAACATTTCATGGTCTACAGGTTAAACCTGTGAAGAAAGGGTAGACACTACTGTCAATTTCACGGTCTAGAAATTAAACCTGTATAATAGGTTAAAAAACTACTGTTAATATTTCACGGCCTTCAGGTTAAACCAGTGAAGATAGGGTGAAAACTACTTTTTACATTTCACAGCCTACAGGTTAAACCAGTAAAGATAGGGTGAAAAGTACTGTTAACATTTCACGGCATACAGGTTAAACCTGTATAATTGGTTGAAAACTACTGTTAACATTTCATGGCCTACAGGTTAAACCTGTTAAGACAGGGTGAAAACTACTGTTAACATTTCATGGTCTACAGGTTAAACCTGTGAAGAAAGGGTAGACACTACTGTCAATTTCACGGTCTAGAAATTAAACCTGTATAATAGGTTAAAAAACTACTGTTAATATTTCACGGCCTTCAGGTTAAACCAGTGAAGATAGGGTGAAAACTACTTTTTACATTTCACAGCCTACAGGTTAAACCAGTAAAGATAGGGTGAAAAGTACTGTTAACATTTCACGGCATACAGGTTAAACCTGTATAATTGGTTGAAAACTACTGTTAACATTTCATGGCCTACAGGTTAAACCTGTTAAGACAGGGTGAAAACTACTGTTAACATTTCATGGTCTACAGGTTAAACCTGTGAAGAAAGGGTAGACACTACTGTCAATTTCACGGTCTAGAAATTAAACCTGTATAATAGGTTAAAAAACTACTGTTAATATTTCACGGCCTTCAGGTTAAACCAGTGAAGATAGGGTGAAAACTACTTTTTACATTTCACAGCCTACAGGTTAAACCAGTAAAGATAGGGTGAAAAGTACTGTTAACATTTCACGGCATACAGGTTAAACCAGTATAATTGGTTGAAAACTACTGTTAACATTTCATGGCCTACAGGTTAAACCTGTTAAGACAGGGTGAAAACTACTGTTAACATTTCATGGTCTACAGGTTAAACCTGTGAAGAAAGGGTAGACACTACTGTCAATTTCACGGTCTAGAAATTAAACCTGTATAATAGGTTAAAAAACTACTGTTAATATTTCACGGCCTTCAGGTTAAACCAGTGAAGATAGGGTGAAAACTACTTTTTACATTTCACAGCCTACAGGTTAAACCAGTAAAGATAGGGTGAAAAGTACTGTTAACATTTCACGGCATACAGGTTAAACCTGTATAATTGGTTGAAAACTACTGTTAACATTTCATGGCCTACAGGTTAAACCTGTTAAGACAGGGTGAAAACTACTGTTAACATTTCATGGTCTACAGGTTAAACCTGTGAAGAAAGGGTAGACACTACTGTCAATTTCACGGTCTAGAAAGTAAACCTGTATAATAGGTTAAAAAACTACTGTTAATATTTCACGGCCTTCAGGTTAAACCAGTGAAGATAGGGTGAAAACTACTTTTAACATTTCACGGCTTACAGGTTAAACCAGTGAAGATAGGGTGAAAAGTACTGTTAACATTTCACGGCATACAGGTTAAACCTGTTAAGACAGGGTGAAAACTACTGTTAACATTTCACGGCCTACATGTTAAACAAGTGAAGATAGTGTATAAACTACTGTTTACATTTCACGGCCTACAGGTTAAACCTGTTAAGACAGGGTGACAACTACTGTTAACATATCACAGCCTAGAGGTTAGACATGTTAAGGCACATATTAAAATTTAATAAAGGAACAGGAGAATGTTAAAATTATTAAGATATTAAAATTATATTTTACTCCTGCACAATGTATTTATCATATATTGCAGAGTCAGCAATGGAGGATCGATGGTTGTTGGACGTCGGTGAGGAAGTGATAGGGACCAGTTTAAGTGTAGTGCATAAAGTATGAATAAATTCGAAAACTTAAAATCTATTATGATTTTGATTGTTTTTATTAAAATACAGTAAAATTAAGTTAACCCTGGAGTCAGATAAGAAATAATTTCGAACTTTGTTTTACCCTGATTATATCTATTCTACCATCTTGTTTATTGTTTACCTACGTTACGCCTTGCGCTGTACAGCTTACCAGGGGTAACTACCTGCGAGGTCCCAATCAACGCTGAGAAAGAACAGAAGGCAGGTCTACTTTAACGCTATAGAAGGTCTTCATAAATATGTTTTCTTAAGTTCACACCGTATGCCATTCAAATGCAATGAATAGAAAAAGTTAGACAAACTACTGTTAACGTGTTAAGTGTATAAAGTACTCAACCAATATATTTCAAATAAAAAGGAAAGGTATGAACGGTAGGAAAATCAGCCGATTTTCCTTTCCTGGATGAAGGAAATCGTTTTGGGCCTATCGAACAGATAAACATTTGTTATTAACTCTGTTTAATTTCACCGTACCATCTGACAAGGAAAACGTCGAACCAACACTCAAAGCTGTCTCTTATGTATTATACATGTATATTCCCTGACCTTCCACAATATCCAATTAAACGTACGCAATGTTTATCTTCCCTATGATTTTTTTAACAGGTCTCGCTTGTTGGTTAAGTTATTCAATCTGCTAGAGACGATTTATTGGAAAACGTTGTTCCAAAGTATCTCAGTCGCGATCACCTAGGACGCGATACTGTAATCAAAGACCACACAACAACATTTGTCCGTCGGTATACAAATGGTCCATTTATCTATATTGAAACGACGTTCATATAGTATGCACAAAGGTAGACCTTATGTGAAACCATTGATTTTAGTACATTGTACCAACTGATGGCTACATTCTGTCTTCGGATCCTTCCCTGCTAATGGTCAACATAATGACGCCAAAATTTGCCAAGCACATGGTTCTGACCAATGCTGAAGGTATCCAAACTTGGTTATATGACAATGTTATATTGATTGTTGACCGTGGTTTTCGTGACGTTACTGATATGTTAGAAGACTTTGGTATAATTTCCAAAATCCTTACTTCCTCAGCAAAGGGCAGACGCAACACAGTGCAGAAGAGGCAAATGAGTTTCACCTTGTTACAAATGTCAGTAGGGTGATCGAGTTAGTAAATGGCCGAATAAAAAAGTGGAGGGCACTTGCAAACACCATGCCAAACAGCCATATTACTTCGAGGAGACTAAATTGGGATCGTATGGGAATAATGAAATATTTTCCGGCTACCACTGGCAACTTCATTACCCCACCGATGACATCACTCCTAAGATAATGATATCGTTGTCAAATACCCAAACTCGCTAAAACCCAAAATTGAACTCAGTGGTTGGGTCAAGAAAGAGTGCTCTGGAAATCCTTTGATGGCACTGATGTCCCTGAATTCCCATAGCTGTCAGAGGAGGAACTGCTAGACCTCACTATGGGATTGTACCAAATAAAGTAGATCAAAACCCCCACTACTGAACACCTGTCCGAGCATGGTCGGTATGAGCTGATGTTGTACAGAGCCTGGATTTATAAAGCTTAAGATACCATCTCGTCACACCTCCTTACACAGATATAATGTTTTGGTGGAGTTCAGTATTGGTTTGATGCCAATAAATGAGTTCAGTTGTGTCATGTACGAAGCATACTTGTCGTTTGTACATGCAGTGCGTAAAGCGGGTGCTCAGGTTGTTGGCTGTTGTGCCCAGGACATCTGTCCTACTGTCCTATGGTTTCTTGGCTACTATCGACACTTCCGTGAACTAGCCCATTACTGCCATGCCATCTGTACCCTACTTTGAAAGTGTTACTAATGCTGCTGTAATCGACACTAGAGATGAGTCTGATAGCGGCAGTTGAGTATCTTGGAAGACCTACACATCTACATTTAAATTGCCTTTCTCTGAGTTACAAGGATAGATAATAAATGAATGTAACCTAGATAGAAGTATGAATCATCTATATGACTGGTTATCTTTTACAACCATTTTTTTGTCATTAATGCAACTTTAATATCTGGTGATGAGAAAAGAGATGCACTTAGTCCTTTTATTTCAAAACACAAGAAAAGATGTTTTTTAAGTTTTTAAATTTAAATATCATCATATAACTAATATCAATGCCCTTTTTGTACAATCAGCGCTTAAATATTGGAAATAGGCAAAACAAATGACGAAAAACATTGAATGGGTAAACTTTAACAATTGAGGGTAGGATACCTAAAACTGCCAGCAAATCACACTTCATACATTAAATTAATCATTTAATTGTAACTGTGGTGGCAAATGCCATATTTTTAATTGTAAGAAATCAAATAAGGACCTGGAACTCACTCAACCACAGGTGCTGAGCATATATTATGTGATATAAATAATATACAATATTAATATCTTATACTTATAGCATATAAATGGTGTCCTGCACCTTTTAATTCACTTAAGATATAGAGGTATTGGAAATTTTCCAAGTAAGAGATGTGTCCAAAAGCCATACCTCGGTTTAAAAAAGGAAAGTGTGTAGTAAATATGTATTTTGTGTAAATTTACTCAAACGAATAAAAATGTAAATGTCAACCTAAAATATCAGTTAGAATGGAAATTGTTGAGAAAACAAAACACTTTCCATTTGAAAATGACCTAAAAGACCCTCTTGATTTAATCATCCGTTTTATATAACAATCTTTGATTGAATTTCTGCAACTTTTTTATTCTTTTATATATACCTTTTTCATTTATACATATTTTCAAAATCAGAAATGGTATTATTTTAGTTGTTTTAGCAGCAAATTATATTTGTGATTTACCCTAGCCCTTTTGGTACCCAAAAAACTCACTTTCGGGCAAACTTTTGCTTTAGTTTTTGCGCATATAATACAATATAACATCTCAATGTCTTATGACAAACTAAAGAGGAGACAATCCGAAAATACCAGGGCCAAAAAAAGGTCATCCTTTGTAGAGGATACTTAAATGTTGACAGATATGATGACTAACGTTGAAATATCAGACATAAATGAAAATATAACAGATAAATGCAAACAGGCAAGGGGGGGGGGGAAACTATTAGGATATTAAATGAAGAAATAGAAAAACAAACCTAGCTCGCTTGTTAGATATTTTGGATTCTCGTATGTAGAAGGCGAATATTTAGACACTCAATATCAAATCTGGCAAAACCAGAGAAACAAACAGGAAACCTCTAAAAATTGAGGAGAGTTTTGTATTTATTTTTTATAATCATTGTTCATTTTGTCAGTCGCTTCACTTTGTTGATACATGTGCAAATAGTATACATTCTTAACAACACAGTAAATAATTTATCTCTTAAACGTGAAAATGGGAATACAGACATTGTAAGGTATTATGAATGAACAAAACCTAAATACATTTTGATAAAGACCATCGTATTTGTGATGCATATAATATACTGTTGTATGTTGAATGAAGATATTTCTAAAATAAAACATTGTCATTCCTATCAGCAAACAACTGGGATTCTGTGTGTTGTAAACCGCCCACTAATATAATGTTCTGTCCAATGCTAATACCAAACGTACTTCCGGTTGATGAATCTTTCTACAGCTAATGAAAAATGTTGATAGCGTACCATATCGAAACCTTCTTAAAATCAGATATTGGCCAATCATGTAGTTGTATTAAAATAGTATGTCTATCGTATTCATTTATTAATGTTTCATGTAAGATGATGTCAGTCAGGCTTTCACTAACGAATAGTTTGCCATCTTTCTTAAAAGGTAGAAATATAAATTACTAGAATTTACCAAGTTAATTATTTATTGTGTGAATGTTTTCGAATTTCCTTTTTTAGTGATCATTCTGGATCAAGATACTTCCTTTAAGCAGGTTGATCCTGGGAGATACGGCTAAAGAAACCATTGCCACTGGGGGCTATTATGGATTGCCTTGCCTTGTTCATTGTGTTATATAAAGTCGATGTTTTTGCTTACGCTCATAACTTGTGCCTTGTTGTTTCGTTGCTGCTACTACAGTTCTCACATTAAGGATGTGACATTACAAATAATTTACCTAGATTTACGATGAAGCAAAAGACGCTTTCCCTTCAGGAACACCTGGTCATACTCGCCTTGTAATGTTCCAATCATCTTCATGTAACTGTTTTAATTGTTTATATTTCGTTCTAGTTGTATTGCTTTTAAGCTCAAATTACTGTTGTGTGTACTATGTGGTACTCTTTAAGAGACTTGCATTGTCTCTAACCGGTACGTGGTACGTGTTCTATAGATGTGCATGCTCTATTGATATTTAATTGTATAAGGTATGTGTTCGTCAATAGAGTATGCCAGCTCGACAATAATAGGGACCCGGTACGTATGATTCAAACTAAAGACTTGGGCCTGTATTCATGAAACCGATTTTAAGCTCAAGCTCAGATTATGTGCTCGAGCCTTTCTTGTTCCTTTGATTAAATTTATATATATGGCGGATTTCACAATAACTCAGCATTTTCTGTCTTATGGAAGTAAACTGTTTTAATTCAATTGCACAAGAACATAGCAAAATATCATATCATTTTATTAGATCTGCTTCTAATGGTGAATAAATTAAAGTAAAAATATAAACAATATCATTTTATAGTTTTGCTGCTTTAGAGTTTTTTTTATTCTCGGATAGGATATTTTCTGGTTCAGGAATCTACTGTGCATCCATTATTGCATTTTCAAGTTAATGTTGAAACTTGAAATCATCACTTTCTACAATCATTGTGAATGTTATTGATATTGGGGACTACTCACCTTTCAGTTAACACTTTTATATGTTAAAAAATCTAGTTCAATACAAAAAGAAAACATGATTTTAAATTATGTTGCTAACATGACATCTTTCTGTCCTTCTTTGAAAATTCATGTTTGCAAAATCATGATCACAATAATCAAGTATTTACATGTCATTCTGTCATATTTGCTATCAAACAGCTCACCCTGTGATCAGAAGTACATTTGTTACACCTTACAACTATGGTCATATTTAGATGTACCAATTCCGTCTTTTCGTATTGCAGAGTTATCTGCTCTTGTGAGCAGGTATTGACTGTTACGTCATTAGTTTATGAGAGTAACGTCATGAATTTTTGAGAAAACGACGTAATTTTCTCACACAAACTAATGACGTAACAATCAATACCTGCTCACAAGAGCAGATAACTCTGCATTACGAAAAGAAGGAATTGGAAAATGTTGCTATCATAACATTGGAAACGTCTGTCCTGTTTGATGTCACCAAATGTTGCCGTGTGTTAATTATATACAAACTGCCTGCAGTAAGCATCTGTAAGCACAGCTGATATAGAGGGTCAATATGGACCAAATGGTAGCAAAACAAAAAGTGTTTGTTTCTTTAATAAATTATTTGATATTCATTTACTTTCTGTCCTTTTAGTAATGAAAGCAACAAGGAATGTTTGGAACATTTTATTTCTCTTTTATTCTCCGTTAATTTTCTTTATTTCTGAAACAAACGAAAGAATTATTTAAATGTTAGTCAAAATAATACAATACCTATTTATCACTCTTGATGTCTGTTATGTGCAATTTGTTGCTAATGTTACTAATATGGACAGATATTACGCTCAAACACTACAACTAGGACAGAATATGTTTCTTATGCTATTAATTAGTAGATATAAATTGTGTTGCTAGTGTGAAAACTGCTATTTCAGAGGAATTTAACTTATGTATATAATAAACAACAGTTTATTTGTAGTAGATATTTACAACTTACAAAATAACTACTATTGTTAATCTTGGAATTAAAAGGTAGGATCAGTTTCCTATTAGCTAGGGTCATGAGAAATGATTATGGTTAATTTAGCTGCGAAAGTATAATCTAGGGCCATTTGTTCATTTGATGAAATATCATGATCACCTAGAGCTAATTTGTGCATCAAGTGTAGCATCACACAGTCAAAGGGGATACTATTCTATTTCAAATCTCCAATATTATCTGTTAAATACATATACATGTAAAGATTCAACAAAGCATTACTTGGATTAAGATCATGATATATGATACCTAGCTTTAATGAAATACAAATAGTCTTTTCTAGGATGAACATGTAATTTGTGTATGCTGTTCTGTTCACATTTTGCTAACATAGCACTGTGCTAAAATGATTTGTTGTATTGACTCAAAAATAGCACTAGATTGAAATTTAACTATTTGTTAGCTTCTGCAAACATTATGACTATTAGTCAACAGGTTTGATGGGATTCATTTGTAATCAATCCTAACGTTGCTAACATAATTCTGTCCTGATGTCGTGCTATAATCTGTCTAATGTAACGTTGGCAACATAACTTCGAATATCAAAATTTAAGACATTTTTGTTTCGTTTTATTTTAACAATGTTGTTCACTTATGTTCCATTCTTAATTTTGCAAACATGTAATGAGTTCTAGCATATTGCATATAAGTGATTTTGTTACCAGAAACTTAAAATATTTTATTTGATAAAAATTCTGTCCTTTACAATATAAGGTACTGCAGATTAAAAAAATGCTTTACTTTCGATATATTTTTTGCTCCAATTATACCTAGGTTTATCATATATACCCCATAATAAGAGTTTTAAGAACGTGTGAATGTTAAAAACAAGCAAATGAAAGTATGTCAAGAAAAAACTGAAATAGTGTGTGCCGACTTGTCATGGTAATGATTTAAGAAAATGTGGTAAGAGAATTGTATGTATAGGAATAACGATATAAAATATTGCAAAGAACTGCTACTTCAAAACAAAATCTGTTTTGATGAAAGAAAATGAGTTCTAAAATTTGGTGGTTGATAGTAGATTCATTTTAAGAATATTGTAAAATCTGCCATAATCACATTTGTCGATGATTTGAAAAGATTTTGCAAAGCGTGAAGCTGAATACCAGTTGTAATATCTATACTTGAGTTTTAACCGTTGCAAATGTTAAAGGCAAGTTACAAGAAAGTTAGTAGAGCACCGAATCCACGATCGATCATGAGAACGATTTCAGTAATACGGGTCCTGGTTTACATGGTTGGTAATAGGGGTCACCTATGTCGAGATCTATAAGGTTCTGAACAGGATTGTTATGTAAATGGAACACAAGAAATGGTTTGATAACAAGAACAGAGTTTTATCTATCGAGGTCGGCTCTAAACGGTGTATCTAGGTCTGTTTGATAGTGCCCTATAGTAGAGACATCAAGGTCTTCTAACTAGACCCGCCACGACAATATAGCAAAGATGTATATAAAAGAATGTGTTATACTTTGTGTTATTGTCGGTAAGTATACTGTACTATCTTTAGACAGACTTAGTCTGAACGGATAGAATAGATAACTTTAATGGAAATATATACAAAAAAATGATAACGAAAGTAGTTTTAATCTATATATGCCAGATATATATGGACGAAGTTTACGATCCCGGGGCCAGAGTCTAATTAGTACTTAGTACATTTTTGACTAGAAGGTTGTTTTGTGTTAAGCCTTACGTGTATTTACTTCAACTTAATTTATTGACCTTTCTTTAACCATATTATTACATCACAAGAGTGAAGATTTTAAATAATCAGTATTTTCGGAATGAAGTGATGTTATGAATATTTCGGTAAATTACCTGTTTTATCGATCGTTGGTGACAGACATGAACTCTCCTAGGGATTTTTGGGAGACAGCATGACGATGACACTTGCTTAACTTACCACCTGGTGTCATGTTTATCGATTCCATGTCTTTTCCTTTTGTTTTGGTGTATCTATTCTATTTCTATTCTTTCAGTGTCGACAATGAGTTCCGTTTCTCGTTCTTTATGGTTAATATTTATGTTTGTCCATTTCTATGTGACGTCTCCGTTTTGTGTATTTTTGTTCTTTATCTAAGATGAACTTTTACAAACAAAAAGTAGTTCCTTCAAGGAATTGACAACGTTACTTACCAAACGTATTGTTTTACTAGCGGTCTCCTTGGTACACGCTGAATGTGAACACGGATGGGTGGAATTCAAGGAAAATTGCATCCATGTCAATGCGCAGAGGACCAACTGGAATTCAGCCGAGGTTTGTTATGTAAATTTACCTCTGAAATGTTTAAAAACAAATGCGTGAAATGGAATAATCTCGACCCTAGAAGTAAGATTTTTAAATTACATATTTTTCGACGAACTTTAGGTTTGATAATTTATAATCTCAACCCTTAATAAATAAATAAAATAAATAGATAAATAAACACAGCTGCCAGCCTTAGGTATAAAAATGTATTATTTCAACCCATGGAATAAATAAACACATCTGTAAACCTTAGGTAAAACATTTTATAAATCTCAGCATTTGGATCAATTAAAGATCCTGCAAGCCTTGGGTATGACAATTCATGAATATCAACCCTTGGGGTAGATCGATCTTGTACAAGCCTTCGATACGATCATTTATGAATCTCAGCTCTCGGGGTAGAAAAATCTTCAACAAGCCTTATGTATGACAATTTATGAATCTCAACTTTTTTGAGTTTACACTTGTATTACACATATTCTATTTGTAACGCTTATAAAGAAATTAAAAGAACCGAGGGAGGATTTTTTTGTCTATCTGCCGTTACATAAAAAGGGATATGTTTGCTCGTGTTCAATAAAAAAATAAAACAGTCCCGCTTCTTTTCTCGTACTAAGATTATTTTCCTTGGGGATTTTTCAAGCAGGATACGCTCAAACCGCAATGCCTTTGCAAACAGTAATACACAACGTTTTCAAGTTGCAATAACTTTTGTTCAATGCGTTTGTAATAATATTGCAATAAAATACGTTTAAACTAAACTAATGTACATTGTATTAAGAATTTGAGGTCATAAAATTATTTATGAAATACGTGAAATTGTTACTGTTCCATTTGCAGACGCAATTTCATAAATGCATGTGTGTTGATCAATTGACCATTCATAATAGACTTCCAGCCATCTGTTAATGCCACCGACACACCTACAGATGTTGCCGCTCCCATTTTGTGCAGATTGTCTGATTTCTTCTTTGAAAGCTTGAAATGGGTGTCCGTTTGTTTGCAGATAGAGTGCAAGAAGCTACATGGGTGGCTGGCGTCTGATGACACCCAGGATAAACACGACTTCCTCTATATCATCGCCAATGTCCTGAAAAGTAAGTGAATAGTTTGGCTGAGTTACACTTTTTATCCAGTGAGGATAAAATACGTACGATTACCTCAGCCTATTACGTCTAATCTGTAATATTATCAAATTATTAGGAAAATAGGAAATACACGGACCGTTTTGGGACACAACGTTTCACCCAGGCCCAAGTTAATGAATTTCAGATAATTCGTTAACTTTAGGTTTCTCATTAGAAAGCATTCCTGGGGTTAAGGAAAGTATTTTTTCTTAACATCTATATTACAGTTCTATCGGAAATCTCAAAAAGTAAGAAATTGTTTTGCACAAGAAACAGTCGTCAAACTAGAGAAACGTTAAATAGAATCAAATACCACACGACTCTGTACAATAAAACTAGTTATCTAAATTTTCTTTTTCTAATGAATTTATAGGCTTGAACGATCAAAGTTAAATGATTTTTTGGGGTCTATTTTGTCGCGTTATTCATTTTTGAAAAAAACATATATTGGTTTCGTATTTTGACAGAAAAAAATAACTAATTAGAACATTAGCCAACAGCTTTCATAAATTGACGAAAATAAATAAACGAGCACAAGTGTAAATCAACATTGAGGACTCACCAATAGAATATAGTCTCTTTCAGCTATGTAAGACTATACGACTATATCACACGTGCATAATGGTGTAGGATATAGAGGACATTTGCCGAGGTTTTGAACTCTTTGAGAAGTCTTATTTTAAGAACTGATTATAAGTGGGTGGTTTTTTTTATACAATTGTCGAATAAATAAGACTAATAATTTAACCTTTATCTATTTATATTCTCAGCCATCAACATTTTCCCGTTTTTCATTGGTGGAACCGACTTCATCTTCGAAGGCCAGTACCGATGGGCAGAGACTGGTCAGTATGCTGGGCCCTTTACTAAGTGGGATACGGGCTTCCCGAATGGAAACTGGTCCAAAAACTGTCTCATGCTAAACTGGGACGGAGATGATCTTGTCTGGCAAGACGAAAGATGCAGCGCCGGTCATTACTTTATATGTGAAAAAATGTGAGTTATTGAGAATAATTTAATTTCAAATCGCATCAACAAACTGGCTTTAAATTTGTTCGTGCTATTATTACTTAAATGTCCTGTAATTGCTTATGTGAGTTTAATCTAATATCACTTATATCAAAAAAGTGTCGAATATGAAGCAAATCAATGTAATATGCCATCATATTTTGCGGCCTAAATTGCGTAAGATTAAAATATTTTTGAAGGTGACCGTTAATACTGAAAACTGAGGACAAAACAAAAACGAATTCTACTGTTATGTATTGATGCTAAGATACCCCACTAGATCCTAAAGGTTCAATACTGACTGTGACATGGACAATAAATAACTTACTCACATAAACATAACAATGGTTTAAAGTCGTTGTTTGGTTTGGTTTGGTTTAGTTTGTTTTTTATGGTCATTTAAGGACAGCCTCCCCTGTGTGCTAGATCCATGCGTGTAGTGTATTCGTGTGTGTTTTGGGAGGCTGCGATATGTTCATGTTTGTCTCCTTGTGATAGCGCGGAACTGATGCCGACTTTATAGCACTACCACATGCACACTTAAACACACTGCCGAAGGCACCCAGCAGGACATCACACCCGGTCACATTATACTGACAACGGGCGAACCAGTCGTCCCACTCCTAAATTGCTGAGCGTTAAGCACGAGTAGAAACTACCATGTTGACAGACTCTGGTATGTCTCGGCTAGGGGACAGGGGCGAACGCTCAACTGAAGGCATTGTCAAAGCAGACATTAGGAAGAAGAAAGTTGTTTAGAAAGAAGAGAAAAGATAAATTCCCATATTTAGTAGCCTCTTACGATCAGGCAATGGGGGCAGCAGGTACAATTCGTACGCCCTACCTGCAGGCACTTAAAGTCGTTGTAAAAACATACCAAAAGCAGAAGAACAAATACATTTGTATAGATAATTACCACAAAAACAGCATCCTTATAGATACTTATTATGTAAATACGTTAAAAAAGTCACTGAGTCAATAACACCAATTTTACAAAATTACAAATTCAACTATATGTTCCTTATTTTTTCTGAACATTCTTTTTCAGGAGCAACGTGTCTCAGCCTATTGTTGGTAAATGAGGCGAAAACCATATAAACACATTCATATACCAATAAACTCATTGCGTCGTTCATTTCTTTGTCGTTGTCAATTTGATCAATATCTGGTCCGCGTACTCATCTCCCTTCGTGTCTTATTAAGTGTTACAGTTATCTCCCTTCATGCCTTATTAAGTGTCACAGTTATCTCCCTTCATATATTATTAAATGTCATAGTTATCTCCCTTCATGCCTTATTAAGTGTCACAGTTATCTCCCTTGATGTTAGTCTTACTGTAGTATGGAACCGTCTGTTCAAAAAAAGCAAGTTGATCCGATAAACCAATCAAAGCAAACACAACCCCACGTGGTCATTATTTGTCCATTTAAGACTAATCAGTGGTACTAAAGGTCCAAAGACTGGCTTTAAAACTCTTTATCTCAATTGTTTATTACAATTTATTAATGTAGATAAAAAGTCAAAAACTAAACTAAGTGGAATATATTGTAGTGGATATGGTATCGAAGCGTTATCAGATGAACCTGTCAAACACAACATTGGTCATTCTTACACGGGTTGCCTCCCTTCACATACAACGTACATGTAAACTAGATGCATACTATATGAACTGTCCCTATCACTTAAAAAGTCAAATCTTAAAACAAACAAATGCTCATGTAAGCAAAATTGAATATTTGTGTTTTATCATGCAGAACCAGATAATGTGATTAATTAATATATAAAGAATGTTCCTCTAGTGTAAAGGTGTAAAANCCCCCCCCCCCCCCCCCCCCCCCCAAACACAAACACACACCACCACCACCTACAAACCCCCATCAGCTTCACTCGCAACCCATCTACGAACATCACCACCATCCACAAATCCCTAGCAGAATATGTTGCGACCTAACTTACTAAACTACACCATCAGTCTACCCCAAACCATCACCCACAAACCCCCACCAGAATAATTCGCAACCAATCCCACTCAACCACCAACCACCCACTAAACCCCTACCAGAATCAGTAGTAACCCATCCATCTCAATCAACCCACCACTAATCTATCCCAAAACACAACCCACTAAACCCCAACCAGAATCAGCAGTAACCCATCCACCTCAATCAATCCACCACCAATCTATCCCAAAACACCACCCACTAAACCCCAACCAGAATCAGTAGTAACCCATCCATCTCAATCAACCCACCCCTAATCTATCCCAAAACACAACCCACTAAAACCCAACCAGAATCAGCAGTAACCCATCCATCTCAATCAACCCACCCCTAATCTATCCCAAAACACAACCCACTAAAACCCAACCAGAATCAGCAGTAACCCATCCACCTCAATCAATCCCCCACCAATCTATCCCAAAACACCACCCACTAACCCCCTTCAAGAATCAGTAATAACCCATCCGTCTCAATCAACCCACCACCAATCTATCCCAAAACACCACCCACTAAACCCCTTCAAGAATCAGTAATAACCCATCCATCTCAATCAACCCACCACCAATCTATCCCAAAACACCACCCACTAAACCCCAACCAGAATCAGTAGTAACCCATCCATCTCAATCAACCCACCACCAATCTATCCCAAAACACCACCCACTAAACCCCTACCAGAATCAG